CCCCCCCCCGCGGCATGGAAAGGACATACATGTTTATAGGTGTATGTATAAAGCTGTTTTTATTACAAAAGTCAATATTTATGAATCATAAAACTAATATAAGTCGACGCAACAAAATAAACTGTTCAAGACAAGTCAACTCGGTCCCTGTAGCGAGTAAGAACGAAAATATGTTAATGATGTTAATCTTTTGTCTCCTGGCCTAAGGCTGCGTCTTTTCTCTGGTCTCCCACGACAAAAACTTAGACAAGGTGGACGGATAAGTTTACTGACAGGGTTGGATAAAAGTATATTACTACCCTTAATAACCACGACGTAACAGTTCCCAACAGTTCAAAATGCGAGTAGATCATTCTTTTTATTATCTTACCAAAAAATAATAAACCATTTTATCAGAATAATATGAGGAAGATTATAGTAAAAGGGCAGAAATATCCACGGCTTTATTATTTTGGGTGTTTTATCTTTTTTAACTGGTTGATAGATTAATGAGCAACAAAGGGTAAGTGTAGCGCAAAAGAACTGTCCAAGATCAGCTCCTGGGCTAGTATAATAGTATTAGGCAACGCACCTTCGGAACACCTTGTATTATATATGCCCTTTGGGCTTTTTGGGGGGCAAAAATATATGTGACAGTGTGATATTTCTGGCGACAAAACCCTATTTTATGTTTGCAAACATCAAACTGTGACATCAGAGGAGTGCAGTCGTTTCAAGAAGACAAGTTTTTCATCACTAAATCTGACAGAGTGGTACATTTTACACAGATTTAAATAAGCCTCTTCACAAGTAAAGCAGACGACAGTACGAGTGACATCCAGCTATTGTAAGCGTGATTATCGTTACACGGCTTAGGTTTTGGTACAGTTCCCGAAGTCTCCGTTTATTTATGGAGATAATTTCTAAATAATAGTTGACTGTATTATTGCGACCACGGAGGTCTGCATTTATCATAACAGTATAGCGTGTTGGAGTGTCAGCTGAACCACAATTATGGCGGTCTTGGAGACTCGACAAAATAGATGTCATGCGAGGGCGAGGGATAGGACGGGGTCGGATAAGTAAGTATGTTAATTGTTCGTTCGTACAATAAAAAGTGGACATAGCGAAGATGTAGCGAATCAAACTGACCACTTTCAAATGACCACTTTTACCGGACAATGACGTTGTTTTGCGGCCCATTTGTCGCCAGAGTCATCCGTCTTAAATCAGGGCGCCTGTTGACGGAGGAGATGGCGTAATCAGAGAATAAGAAGCGGCGTCATCGCGCATCAATTGTGGACATTATGCGAAAAAATTATGTATCTGTTTCCAGTGTGATTTACGACTTACAAACAGGCATGACAACGGCTTAAATTGAGCGATGCTGAGTCAGGAAAAGATGAACTACGACGAAAGAAAAAGAGTCTAAGGAGTTTCCTTTTATTCGGATTGCCACGAGTATTTTAGAAAGTAAAAACAGATATCTATATACGCAGCAATCAGGAAGTTTGGGGCATTATTATCTGATCAAGAAGGCTACAAAACAGTAAGATCACTATGAGCAGCATTCAGTGCATCGTTCTCTCCGCTGGGGGTCAACATGTGGTCAGAAAAGTTGACATGGGAAAGCCAGGTGCGTTCCCATGGAAATCAGCACGAGATCACACCTTGAATTCACCAGGAATCTTAAGTTTTTCCCCTTCCAGCCACTTATAATAACACCTCCCGCGATTATAATTGTACTATCATTGATTTGGGATCTACCCCTCACCCCATTGAGCCATTAGAAACTTTATAAGATTACATTTTTACCACAATAACCTACTGTGAATTCTAATTCTCGCAGCACCACGTCTTGTTCTGAAGAGGTACAAGAAAGCATTTCACGGGATATTATCTGAATTTAATATACTAATGATAAATAATTTCATAATTATGAGACTGTCCATCTTTGTTTCTTTTTTTCCTTGCTGGGTATTCAGTCGTTTATGCACACGTGTACTGGTGACAAATCCTGCCTAAGTTTTGACCCCGACATGACGCAATGCACAACCCGTCAGATTCTTTCTTTCTTTCTTTGTTTTTAATGATATTTCTGCTATGTATATCTAGGTTATGTGCGTGCTCGCGCTCGTGAGTGCGTGTACCTGACCAGGTGCGTGCAATATGTGGCCTTCTATATTCTTTCACTAATTATTAATAAAAACGAGAATCATTGACACGGGTGGGTTTGTGTCAATATTATTATGCCATCCCTTGTGCTCCAGTATTAGAATGTCAACATGTTTGAAAGCTCTGGAGGAGTGCTAATTCTCTGTTATACAACTATATAACTTACCTGTTGGTTCAGCACTAAGCTGTGTAGTTAAGAGGTCCCTATTCTGACCGTCCTGCTATCAGTGTGTTATCAGGCTAATTATCTGAACTGTACAGTTTAGCTTTCGCCATTGTGCCAATCTTAACATTTCACTGGTTCTACATATAGTAATGAAAAAATAATTACTAGAGTATTTTTTAAATTTTTATTTGGAAGTGCTGACAGGAGAAATACAAGTCAGGTACGTGGAACTGCCACCTTATATTTCAGCGGTGTTAAGGTACTGCGTATAGCACTAACAAAGGAGAAAACTTGCCCCTACGCAGACAAATACTACCCTCTACCAGGTCTGCTAATTAATTATGTGCATTTTTTCTTCAGCACAGCAGTCGTGATATTAGCCAGAATTACATATGTGAATATCTAGCGAAACGTTTTGACCATGTTCAAAAACAATTTCATTATGATTATGTGCATTTTTCATACACTAGGAAGTTGCGCGTATAATCGATGTCTCAAACGATACTCATACGTACCTCTTTACAGTTGGTGTGACAAAGCCTGAGTAACGCAAGAGTTGGTAAGACCTGTGACAATGATATTTTTATTTAATAAAATATTTTGCCAAGAATGGGGACTTGTTTTTTATTCTCCCCACCCCCTTTGCATGACGTATTGCAAGACTGGCCTCCCCCACAAACTAATGGTATGCACTTTTTTCAGTTTTAGAATCCCAAACATTTATTTAAAGGCCTTAACCTTTTCTCCACTTACACAAGCCAACCGTTGCCATAACATACATGATTCTAATTCATTTGCCGATATGGATTATTATGTAAGTAATTTCGTCCAGAAAAAAATATAAACCTCAATAGCTAATCCTTACATCTAGGCACCCACATAATGTTTTTACCATTAACTTCCACTTTTATTAACTTTCACTTTCATTTTCTCACCCAGCTATGTCTACGGTAGGCAGTGCCAAGAGCAAGAGCACGGTGCGGAGTAACGCCAGCAGCCAGGGCACCGCCGGCTCCAGTAAGAGCCCTTACATCGGCCAGACCCCGCGGTACAACCGCACCTATCGCTCCATCAGCGACGCCTGGTGGAGCGTGGGGGAGTACATGCGCCCTGGGATTACCCATCAATCCGTGGGATTGTCCTTGAAGGGTGCAGGACTGATCGGTCAGCCCGAGGACACTGACACGTGGGACCTGAGCGACTCTCTCGCCGATATGTATGATAAAGTGATGCGGGAGATGAGGCAGAACATGCCGACTAAGAAAACAAACGGTGATAAAAGCATAGATGTCCGAGCTTGGCTGGAAAAGGACACAAGCAACGGATTCATCCGGGTCTTCATACCGGATTCGGATTTAAGCAAATCATATTTGATTCCTTTAACACTGAACACACCGGCGGGGAGAGTGTGTCAAATATTAGGAATACCACCGAATTCGCTCCACGTGCAGTTGAATGGTGACATTATTCAGCGACTGGAGCCATACGAAAACCCATTGGTTATTCAAAACGAGTACCTCGCTACCATTGGCTACACTGATGTGACGCGTATCCAGGAGGAGGGGCATAACCCGGAAATTGGGTTCCAGATTAGATTTTACACAGGTGAGCGCATCTATTCCTATACTCAAACAATACCACTGATATATTATCTAACGATTTAAATAAAGTTGCCCAGCATTTGCCAAAAATTAGACTACATTGTTATGGTACGTTAATTGACTTAATATCCATGGCATTTCCAGTCGTTTGAAATGTATTATTACAAGAATTTACTTGGAAGTGATTTTTGTTAATTTTAGGAAAACTGTCATATTAAATCGGATAAAATGATTTGGTGTTTGGAAATATTTAAAATGTTAAATACGTCTCTCTTTTGTTGTCCTTCGTGATAGCACCCCCATTAATTTGGAGCTATTCTGTTAGATATCATAATAGTAAAAATCGAAACAAGTCATTAAAAAAAATGCGGCATTATTTTTCCTAGAAGTATTTGGGGGGGTTACTTTGAAATACATAAAATCAAATTTCGAATGACCCTAAATTGATTTTACATTAATCTTCATTTCATCTGTTGCTCTTTTTGATACCATACACGTACGCAATCGACTAAAGCATTTCGCAATTCAACATTGCTCAAAAAGTGTCATTGGGAGGTTTTTACTAAGGCATTTAAAAAGTGGATACCAAACATCAGAGCTATAAAAATGTGGACAACAGGCATACTGAACCCTGTGACATACACTTGCTGTTTATTGTGTATAATACTCCCCAGTTTGTGCAAACACATTTATCCCAGCACCTCCTTGCTAAGTCAGCAAAACACGACACCACGCAATTCAGAGCTGTTTTTCTTCAGTCAGTAATGCCCCAGTTAAGGACACTGGAGAAAGAACAAGAAATAACAGAATTCCCATTGTTAAGACAGTTCAGAACTGTCTGAACCGCCCCAAGATGTTTGCGGTTTACACTATAATGGATAATTGACCCATAACGGTATGTCTTTTAGCTAAGCAAAGGTGTCCACGTGATATTATTTCACAAAGTGCATTAAAATATCATTTGTATTTATATGTATTTTTTACTCATTAAGCGGATGATATGCAAGTTCCCAGGTTTTCTGAAACTCATTCTAAGTAGAATAAATAAAAAACAATAAGGTAAAACTAATGTGAGATGGAGAGAATGACAAAGAACCTGAACATCAAATATGTTTTTTTAGCACTCTCAGTAGAACGTTAAGAATATGTTTATTAATATAGTCAGGTTATACGTGGGGTGTGTGGACTGAAGAATGTGTGTTAAAGTACATATAATGTACAGTTGTCTTTTTGTTTATAGAAAACGAAAGAAGAAACGCAATTGTATTCATTATTAGTGATTTAGTATCATGTTTATTTGATTTATTTTTATTATTTCTAAAGGTTACACCTCGGATCCCAGTCACACACACACCTATTGTATGGACTATTTCGGTGATGAAAACGTTTTTTATTTACGTGTGAGTATTTAGCAAATTCTCATATACCATGATCGTTTTTATTTAAAATATCAACTGAAATAAAGGAATTCTCCTGTTTCAGGCAAACCCTTCCATGACGGCACGTACTCCAGGAACCAGCTGCAGGCCTGGGTGGAGGTCCGTAAGGGGAAGGTGTTACACCAGTGGGCCCGGCGCCTGTGTATCATATCAGGCACCAGGTTATACATATACAGAGGTATAGACACTTCACTTTGCATTTGGTATGTCTACTTCAAGACTTACGTATATCAGGTTTTGCATTCATACAACATTAATTTTCTGAAATTCTTTGTAATAAAAGGGATGTAATCTTCTTTCGTGATGACTTTTACTTTTACAGGCATAATATATCCAATGTCATATTGATTTTTTTTCTCGATAATTTGTCTGCTTCAGACAAGGAACGCCGGAATACTCCCACGGTGGTTCAGCTGGCCAAGGGGTCTGTAGAGGAGGTCAGTATTAAAGGTCACGAACGCTGCCTCAAGCTGACCTCGACCATACAGGGTGAGAAGTCGGTGTTCCTGTCCTTCAGCAGTGAGTCTCAGTACGCGAAGTGGAGGAAGAAGTGTAAGAAGGTACGCTGTTTCTGCCAATATCCACCTGATCCTATTCAACTAGTTCTTCAATGTGACTTTCCATAGTTTCCTAGTAATATGCTGCCACCATTAGAACTGGTGAAATATGTGAGTGTAGGGTCGATTTGCTCACCTGTAGATAAACAACGTCAGCCGTGGTAATTTTCACAATTCGTTCGTTTTCTCATAATTTGGACGCTATCTTTTTATCTTATCCCTAGTTATGATTTCTTGTAATTCTTATTCTAAGTATGTTTTCACAGATATGCGCAATAACATTTTAACATCTCAAAATGTTGAAAAAAAGAGGAATATTTGATAGATGTGCTTAGCTAAAGGTACTTCAATTGCTCAAATTAAAATTGCAGCCCTGCGCTAAACGTGTAAGAATATTCCAGGATTTATTTGAAAAAAAAAAAAAAGACAGAGATGAAAATAAAATTTTAACTTTGCTCACCTGTAGAAAGTTAACCAGTGCAATGTATGGTATTTTTGCATGTATTTCTCAAACAATATCTTCACCATTGAATATACTGAACTATATATACTGAACTATATATCGTGATATACTGCATATTATTTCTATATTCACATATTGTAAAAACAGGCAACGTCAAAGCTTCCAACAAGCGCCGATCTCTCCAACAACCACCTTGAATTCCTCCCGGAGAACCTGTTCATCAACGAAGAGCTGACCATGTTGAACCTGCGCCATAACGTCCTGAAGGAGAGGCCGATAGAGGACGACATCTACACCATAGGCTGGCTCGATGACCTTCCCAGGTACAACTCTAGGCCTGGTTTGGATGCCTGAAAATTTTACTGCCAGTTCTGTCTGGACATGCTGCTCTGTCTGTCTGTCTGTCTGTTTGTCTGTCCTGTCTGCCTGGCTAAATGACCAATTACCTTTCTATTGCCTGTCTGTCTGCCGCTCTGTCTGTCTGTCCAATCTTTTCTGGACCAGTTTTAAAATAAGTTTGGAAAGTTTTGTACAGACAAACCAGTGCCATTTTAACGCATTTCATTAGCATACGGTGTTATCACAAGCGTCTGTACGAATTATTTCTGCTGTCGTATATTCCAGATTTCGCCATTTGCGGAGTCTCAATCTAGCTGACAACAACCTCGGTGTTATCCCTACGTCTATCTACCTTATCAAGACACTGGTGGAGCTCAACGTGGCCAGCAACAAGCTAGAAGACATCCCATCGCAAATATCGAATTTATGCAAGTAAGTTTTCTCCAACAATTTTCATCATAATAAAAATGTGAAGTTTTCTTTGCTGTGAATGTAGATGTAGTTAAGGGCGTGGCTCAATTGTAACGCTGGAGATAAAGTACCTAGCTTTCCCTTTATTTGTTTTTTCGTGCTGGCAACCATCGAATTCAGCGTATTCCAAATGTGGCGGTGGTGACCTGATCTCGGGAAGGGAAGTCAGTTTTGGTAGCCTTCTTTGGAAAGTCGGGCGCACAACTTTAAAGGAGGTCTTCAGTTTTGAGAAATTTGTCCCGAAGTGCATTCTTCATATCGAGGATTCGACCACTTTTCGCATTCAAGTCACAAAATTTGTTTCCCTTAAAGTCCTTCGCCCTGTCGAGATTGAGACCTTTTTCGAGCCCAGCGAGACCTGATACCCCTTTTGGGGTGTTTTAAGCTTTTTTTTAAGAGGCTGCTTTGGATGTGATGTGATGTAAAATTCCAGAATAATTGCGTTAACCACCGTTTTAGTTGTAAAATAAAGTTCATTATATTTCTATGAATTGTTTACAATGCATTTATTGAGAAATATGTATATTATACGAACAGTTGTCATCTCTTTAAGTCAATTCCGATGGATCTTGTAGAAAAATGGTTCTACATTGTACATCATATAACCAAATTATTCAAACTCTTCTATTTGAATACAGCTTGCAGGCTCTTCACATCCACAACAACCACCTTACCAGCCTCCCAGAGGAGATGGTGACACTGAAGAAACTGTTCATTCTGGTGCTGGCCTTCAACAAGTTCCCAGTCATCCCGAGCACGGTCGCCATAATGACCAATGTGCGCATGACGGAAGTAGAAAACCTTATTATGGCGGGAAATTACGTAGAGAGGCTTTCGGGCGAACTACTAGATAAGATGAAATATGTGAAGAAAGTGGATCTTCGCATGAACCGTTTGACTCTTCCTCCGAGTGAAACGACAAAGTTTCATCTCCTGGAGCAATTGACTCATTTAGATATCAGGGACAACAAAGTGGCGGACTTGGATATCCGGAGCGTGAGAACGTTGGAGTACCTGAATTGTGAACGAAACAAGATGACAACGCTGCAAGTAAACGGCGCGTCACTGAAGAATCTCTTTGCAGCGCACAACGGTAATATTTTCATGATTAGATTCAGTAGAGTAAACGTCTTATTGACGTTACTGTATTACATTTGATTGAATGGTGATAGCCTTATTTGCCGTCAAGTAATGGAAATTAAAAAAAAACATCTTTTAAATAGACTATAAAAACAATCAGCGTTAGTCAATTTATATTAAACGCCACACAGATTTATTTTTACGTCGGTGAAACAATACTATTCTTTGCAATTTCTTTGTGGCAACTGCCACAAAGAAATATTGTATCAACTTTAAAGTATGGTCATGTACTAAAGCATTTAAAAACATCGTGCTGCAATTTATCATAACTACAAATAGATTCGAATGTGTGTGTGTGTGTGTGTGTGTGAGAGAGAGAGAGAGAGAGAGAGAGAGAGAGAGCAAGATTATCAACTGAACCAGCTATTTTCCTCTCCAGACATCCACTATTTGTACATAACACCTAAACCAGAGTGGCTGGTGACTTTGGATGTCTCACAGTGAGTGGAGTCTTTAAAATAATAATAATAATAATAATAATAATAATAAGTTTATATTCAGCCAGTTGAAATACATAAATAAAAAGTATGAATTTGGAACTTTTCACTATATTGAGATTTGAAATAGATAAAAACAGGTGCATGGTATAAAACTGAGTTTAAAGATGAAGAAATGACACGTTTAGAATTAAATCGGGAAACGCTAGTTAAAACATTTTGAATTTTTGAATTGAACTTTTGAATTTTTTAAAAAAACTAACTTGATTTTATGTTGAAGTTTTATAGCAATAGTTTCTAAATAATTATCACTTGAATACGTTCAGAAATTTTCGTCCAAAATATCTCAAAAAAAAATTGAAAGTAATATCGTGCCTCCTAATTACTTCAGCAACAAACTAAAAGCTCTTCCAGAGTGGCTTCCGGATTGTTTCTTCCTTCAAAAGCTGCAGGCCAGCTACAACAGGATCACAACGCTGCCACCAAGGTTAGTACTGAGCGGTTAATACACAACGCTGTCGCCAAGTTTAATATTGAGCAGTTAATACATGAGCCGATATATTAATTCTACTTTGAGAACAGTTGTAGAACGTCGCATCTATCACAATGGCGCTACTGCATTCAATTTACACGGGGTTATTAAACCTCCCTTAACTAAATAAGAATAATACTCTATTGTCATATCCTAATGGGTGTCTTCTTGCAGGATATTCCTAGACTCCAAGAAGCTCAAGTTTTTGTGGGTGGACCATAACGAGTTGGAGCAGCTTCCCCAGGACGTGGACGCCTTCTACGTGGAGGAACTTCACGTTGAGAACAACAAGATCAGGCTGCTGCCGGCGGACTTCCTAAGGAACGCTAACAAGTAAGCTAGTCAAAGGAAGTCACCCCTTCTTGTAGTCTACTGAAATTTTCCATTGTTCAGAGTATCCATAACTTTTTGGTAAAAATATCAATACCAATTTTCGGCCTCAATTACTTTTGGGAAACGAGAAACCCGTAATTAAATTTATAAGCTCTGTATTCAGTAAAGTAAAACATGAAAAATCTTCCTATTAATGATGAAAGTGCTCGGCAGCTGCAGATGTATTGGAGGATATTTTTCGTGTTTTTCACAAATGCATTTCTCTCAATCAATTCTCAAAACGTGTAAATCTCCCCATAGATTACGAGTCTTCAATGCGACCAGCAACAAGTTGACCAGTCTCCCTGACCTGAGCCCAGTCCAGGACCTGAACAAGATCCAGGAACTGTATCTGAGTGGGAACTTCCTGCAGGACGAGTCGTTCACCACCCTGTGTGGATACCAGAGACTGAAGTGTCTGCACATAGCGCATAACGATATCTACGAGATCTTTGAACGGTAAAATGGTTTAAGGCACAATATCTACTTGGCATTTAATTACAGCACATCTACTTGGCATTTAATTACAGCACATCTACTTGGCATTTAATTACAGCACATCTACTTGGCATTTAATTACAGCACATCATTACAGTTTTGAAAAAAAAATTAAACGTAAAAGAAAAATACATTAACAAACATAATATTTGCAGATATTTGAATGTTAATGTTTTGGACGGAATATTTTCGTGAGATAAGTTATGAAACATTTGCAAGTTGAAATATTTTAGCTTTGTCAAATACATATACCAGATAAAATCCGTTGGAAAGAGTCTTTATTTGTCCGAGCAGAAGGTAATGTCGACCTTATGTTCTGGTTCCAGAGATGTGAGTCGCCTGCAAGCTTTGCAAGAGTTGAACATATCCGAGAATAAGCTCAAGTTTCTACCGGACGCCATCACACGTCTTCCCGACCTGCGCGTCCTGAGAGCTCACTCCAACATGCTGCGGTACCTGCCAGACTTTGGACGCTCTTCAAACCTCAAGGTGAGCCACCTGGGCGACTGTATGCGACATGGTGTTTGAAGTTAACAAGAAAAGTAAATTTTCCCAAAGATAATCAGAATTTTTTTAATGTGATGGAAGTAAGATATGCTTTCTGGACTTTAACAGTGTGGTTTCAGAAATAAGAAATCCTACAGAAATTGTTCCTAATCAATTACACAATAAATATTAAATAAAATTTGAAGACAAGACCGTGACAAAACGAAGAATACCAAATCGTGCAGTATAGGCTTATATAGTTTATATGGTATTTCAAGTGCAGGGTGACACGTAAAAAATAGTTCATATTTTGTATGGTATGTCACAGGTGCTGGACGTGGGCTTGAACCGCCTTCTGGACACCTCTGTCACTGATCTCATGTCCTCCCAGATTGACCTGCTGGACATGTCCTGTAACACTCAGATGAGGGTGGACATGAAGGAGCTACAGTCTGTCAGGTACACGTCGTCATGGTTTCACATTGTCATAATAATTATTAATCACTGATACATCAGCAGTAAAAGATATGATATTCAAACGAGGAGAACCGTTCCTGTCACGAGGGAATAGAGTCGCGCTTGAGACATTTGTGCTTTTCACCATGATTAGTGCACAAACCATGTCACAAGGTATCACTTTTTATACCAAAGAAAACATTTTGCTTTTTACGTATTGTAAATGTAGTATATATAATCGACTTTTTGAATTGATTTGGTAATGTAAAGTGACCTCAGTTTCATACGCGTTTGTTTGTTTGTTTGTTTATTTAAGCATCTCATTTAATATTGGGATAGAATTTCTTCCTAGATATCTTAATAGAACATTTTCGTAAATTCTTCTCCAGGCGATACAAAGACATCAACATGATAGACATGACAGGCCAGAACCGAACTTTACCCGGTTTGGACAATAGAGGGCGCACTAGTGGTGGAGACGATCCATGTCCGTGGAATCTTGGATTCTCAGAAACATCTGGGATACGAAATAAGTAAGATTATTACATATCACGTCTTCCTAAATCGAAACCGTTGTTTGTTGGTGTTTGTTGGCATAATACGCAGTAAAGCTTAAATCATGTACTTTTTTATATTCAAATTTTTTTATTTATTTTATTTAAACGTAAAAGAAATTGTAAAAAAGCAACGTATTGAAATACCGCAGGTAATTGTGCCTTTCTGTTTCTGTGAAAAAGTAGTTTAAATATATGCATGCAAAATTTTAGGCTGTGTGTGGCGTCAATTAAGATGGCAAAGTATGACGAAGGACAGGCGTTGCTCGGGGTGTTTGATGGCGGACTGAATAACGAAGTGCCGAAAATCTTGGCAGATCGGATCCCAGATCTAATTAGAAGAGAACGATACGAGAAAGAAAACAGGGATGAGTACATGAAATACACCTTCCTAACCGCCCACAGGTAAAGACTGAACTACCAAGATGGGTGCAAATTCCGTAATGAATGTGTGCAAGATGCGCACGAATTTTTTAAGATCGTTCTCATTTCATACATACGAGATGTTTGGTAATTTAGCTAATGTAACAGATTCCGCTGAGAATGAAATTTGAAGCCTTATTAGCTAAATCTTGTTTAAAAAGAATTTACTGTATGTAATAATAGATTTATTATGCATCAAGTACATTGAGAAGCAACAAGTTCAACCCCTTTTAAATTCAACGTAATAGACAACTATTCGTTCAGTATCTTTTCCCCCATTTATATAGGCCTATTACTTTTCAGAGAGTTAAGACACAAAGGCCAGAGACTGGGCGCTTCCGGTGCTGTTTGTCACATAAGAAGACTGTTTGAGAACAGGGACCGCTACAAACTGGAGGTGGCAAACGCTGGTGACGTCAGCATAGTGATGTCACGTGGCGGAGAGGCGGTGTGTCTGACTAAGTTGCACACCATTGAGGATAGCCCAGATGAGTGCCAGAGAATTTGTAAATCCGATGGAATCATCACAGAGGTAGTAACTAACATTTTTCCTCCTCTTCTATATCTATTTTGATATGTTCAGTACATTAAACACGCATTTCAAACAAATATCAAATGCACTTTACCGGAGTTTCATTATACAGTACACAACTCTCTTCAGCCACACTTTATCAGTGTTTTCTCCAGCCATGTTTGTTTCTTTGATATCCAGATTACAACAAGATCTGAATATTTCTATTCTATTCTATTCTATTCTATTCTATTCTATTCTATTCTCAGACTTTCCAATAAATAACATATTTGGAAAATGCCCCGTTTCAGGACAACAAAGTCAACGGCGTCTGCAACTGTACGAAGCAACTGGGCTGCAGTTACCTATTCCCCCACATAATCCCCGACCCCCACACCGAGAGGATTACCCTAAAGCCAGAAGACCAGTGCCTCATCATCGCCAATAGAGGGCTCTGGCAGTACGTGTCTTACCAAGAGGCGGTATGGGAGGTGGAGAGCCTTTCCAATCCTGTCATGGCGGCAAAACGGCTGCAGGATCTTGCCCAGAGTTATGGGTCGAGAGAAAACATTTGTATACTTGGTGAGAAAGTCATTTCTATATTTATGACAATAATGAAATTAAAACAAATGTTTAAAAATCTAAACACTTCACTGAATTTTGAAACGTTTAAAACTTAAAAGTAAAACTGTGAATAACCGTGAATAACCCTTGCATAACACTGNCAGAGCTGTTTTTTCTACAGTCAATAATGCCCCAGTTAAGGACACTCGAGAAAGAACAAGAAATAACAGAATTCCCATTGTTAAGACAGTTCAGAACTGTCTGAACCGCCCCAAAGATGTTTGCGGTTTACACTATAATGGATAATTGACCCATAACGGTATGTCTTTTAGCTAAGCAAAGGTGTCCACGTGATATTATTTCACAAAGTGCATTAAAATATCATTTGTATTTATATGTATTTTTTACTCATTAAGCGGACGATATGCAAGTTCCCAGGTTTTCTGAAACTCATTCTAAGTAGAATAAATAAAAAACAATAAGGTAAAACTAATGTGAGATGGATAGAATGACAAAGAACCTGAACATCAAATATGTTTTTTTTGCACTCTCAGAAGAACGTTAAGAATATGTTTATTAATATAGTCAGGTTATACGTGGGGTGTGTGGACTGAAGAATGTGTGTTAAAGTACATATAATGTACAGTTGTCTTTTTGTTTATAGAAAACGAAAGAAGAAACGCAATTGTATTCATTATTAGTAATTTAGTATCATGTTTATTTGATTTATTTTTATTATTTCTAAAGGTTAGGCCTACACTTCGGATCCCAGTCACACACACACCTATTGTATGGACTATTTCGGTGATGAAAACGCTTTTTATTTACGTTTGAGTATTTAGCAAATTCTCATATATACCATGATCGTTTTTATTTAAAATATCAACTGAAATAAAGGAATTCTCCTGTTTCAGGCAAACCCTTCCATGACGGCACGTACTCCAGGAACCAGCTGCAGGCCTGGGTGGAGGTCCGTAAGGGGAAGGTGTTACACCAGTGGGCCCGGCGCCTGTGTATCATATCAGGCACCAGGTTATACATATACAGAGGTATAGACACTTCACTTTGCATTTGGTATATCTACTTCAAGACTTACTATACCAGGTTTTGCATGCAAACAACATTAATTTTCTGAACGTTGAAGAACTAGAATTCTTTGTAATAAAAAGGGATGTTATCTTCTTTAGTGATGACTTTTACTTTTACAGGCATAATATATCCAATGTCATATTGATTTTTTTCTCGATAATTTGTCTGCCTCAGACAAGGAACGCCGGAATACTCCCACGGTGGTTCAGCTGGCCAAGGGGTCTGTAGAGGAGGTCTGTATTAAAGGTCACGAACGCTGCCTCAAGCTGACCTCGACCATACAGGGTGAGAAGTCGGTGTTCCTGTCCTTCAGCAGTGAGTCTCAGTACGCGAAGTGGAGGAAGAAGTGTAAGAAGGTACGCTATTTCTGTCAATATCCACCTGATCCTATTCAACTAGTTCTTCAACGTGACTTTCCATAGTTTTCTAGTAATATGCTGCCACCATTAGAACTGGTGAAATATGTAAGTGTAGGGCCGATTTGCTCACCTGTAGATTTACAATCTCAGCCGTGGTAATTTTCACAATTCGTTTTCTCATAATCTTTTTATCTTATCCCTAGTTATGATTTCTTGTAATTCTTATTCTAAATGTTTTCACAGTGATATACTGCATATTATTTCTATATTCACATATTGTAAAAACAGGCAACGTCAAAGCTTCCAACAAGCGCCGATCTCTCCAACAACCACCTTGAATTCCTCCCGGAGAACCTGTTCATCAACGAAGAGCTGACCATGTTGAACCTGCGCCATAACGTCCTGAAGGAGAGGCCGATAGAGGACGACATCTACACCATAGGCTGGCTCGATGACCTTCCCAGGTACAACTCGAGGCCTGGTTTGGGTGCCTGAAAATTTTACTGCCAGTTCTGTCTGGACATGCTGCTCTGTCTGTCTGTTTGTCTGTCCTGTCTGCCTGGCTAAATGACCAATTACCTTTCTATTGCCTGTCTGTCTGCCACTCTGTCTGTCTGTCCAATCTTTTCTGGACCAGTTTTAAAAAAAGTTTGGAAAGTTTTGTACAGACTTAGCAAACCAGTGCCATTTTAACACATTTCATTAGCATACGGTGTTATCACAAGCGTCTGTACGAATTATTTCTGCTGTCGTATATTCCAGATTTCGCCATTTGCGGAGTCTCAATCTAGCTGACAACAACCTCGGTGTTATCCCTACGTCTATCTACCTTATCAAGACACTGGTGGAGCTGAACGTGGCCAGCAACAAGCTAGAAGACATCCCATCGCAAATATCGAATTTATGCAAGTAAGTTTTCTCCAACAATTTTCATCATAATAAAAATGTGAAGTTTTCTTTGCTGTGAATGTAGATGTAGTCAAGGGCGTGGCTCAATCGTAACGCTGGAGATAAAGTACCTAGCTTTCCCTTTATTTGTTTTTTCGTGCTGGCAACCATCGAATTCAGCGTATTTCAAATGTGGCGGTGGTGACCTGATCTCGGGAAGGGAAGTGGTTTTGGTAGCCTTTAAAGGAGGTCTTCAGTTTTGAGAAATTTGTGCGTTCTTCATATCGAGGTTTCGACCCCTTTTCGCATTCAAGTCACAAAATTTGTTTCCCTTAAAGTCCTTCGCCCTGTCGAGATTGAGACCTTTTTCGAGCCCAGCGAGACCTGATACCCCTTTTGGGGTGTTTTAAGCTTTTTTTAAGAGGCTGCTTTGGGTGCCAGCTCCATATATTGGAAAACTGAAAAATGCCTACATTTCACTTAGTTTCTCACAAATTAAAGTTGGCCTCAGATCACCTAACACAATTCCAAGAAATCAAAAATTACAGGTACCATGTTAACTTATGTGGTGATTCCAAGCATAAAGTATTTAAAGGGATAACAACTGTTCATTTTGACCAAAAATTAATTTTCCCGGGGTAAACGACAATTTTCCCATACTTACTAAAGGTTAATGAATCCATTCCAACATTCAAAATTAGTCCCTTTTTTTTTGTTTGTTTGTTTTTTTTTCTAAAAAGTTTTTTTTTTCTTTTCTTTTTTGTAATATTCTTTAAGAGATTATTATAGAGTATAGTAAGCTATGGGGGTCACGTGATGTGATGTGAAATTCCAGAATAATTGCGTTAACCGCCGTTTTAGTGATAAACAAAGTTTATCATATTTCTATGAATTGTTTACAATGCATTTATTGAGAAATATGGATATCATACGAACAGTTGATATCCCTTAAGTCAATTCCGATGGATCTTGTAGAAAAATGGTTCTACATTGTACATCATATAACCAAATTATTCAAACTCTTCTATTTGAATACAGCTTGCAGGCCCTTCACATCCACAACAACCACCTCACCAGCCTCCCAGAGGAGATGGTGACACTGAAGAAACTGTTCATTCTGGTGCTGGCCTTCAACAAGTTCCCAGTCATCCCCAACACGGTCGCCATGATGACCAATGTGCGCATGACGGAAGTAGAGAACCTTATTATGGCGGGAAATTACGTAGAGAGGCTTTCGGGCGAACTACTAGATAAGTTGAAATATGTGAAGAAAGTGGATCTTCGCATGAACCGTTTGACTCTTCCTCCGAGTGAAACGACAAAGTTTCATCTCCTGGAGCAATTGACTCATTTAGATATCAGGGACAACAAAGTGGCGGACTTGGATATCCGGAGCGTGAGAACGTTGGAGTACCTAAATTGTGAACGAAACAAGATGACAACGCTACAAGTCAACGGCGCGTCACTGAAGAATCTCTTTGCAGCGCACAACGGTAAGATTTTCATGGTCAGATTCAGTAGAGTAAACGTCTTATTGAAGTTATTGTTTTACATTTGACTGAATGTTGAAAGCCTTATTTGGTAATGTAATGGAAATTCTTTTTTTAAAAACATCTTTTAAATAGACTATATAAACAATCAGCGTTAGCCAATTTATATTAAATGCCACACAAATTTATTTTTACGTCGGTGAAACAATACTTTTCTTTGTAAGCAACAACTGCCATAAAGAAATATTGTATCAACTTTTAAGTATGGTCATTTACTTAAAGGGGATAATAACTCTTCGTATGAAATCTATATTTCACAATAAAAAGCATTGTGAATAACTCATAGAAATATAATATATTCTGTTTTACCACAAAAATCGGCAGTTATAGCTATTATTCTGATATCTGAGCTTGTCTTTAGACCACGTGACCTCCATTGATGGCTATACTCTGTTAAAATCTCTTAAGAGATTTTAACAAAAAACCAAACTTTTAAGAAAAAAACCAGGGACTTACTTTGAATGTAAAAATGGATTCATTAACCATTGGTAAGTATGGGAAAATTGTTGGTTACTCCAGGAAAATTCATTTTTTGGACAAAACGAAGAGTTATTATCCCTTTAAGCATTTAAAAACATCGTGCTGCAATTTATCATAACTACAAAAAGATTCGAATGAGTGGGTGTGTGTGTGAGAGAGAGAGAGAGAGAGAATCAACTGAACCAGCTATTTTCCTCTCCAGACATCCACTACCTTTACATAACACCTAAACCAGAGTGGCTGGTGACTTTGGATGTCTCACAGTGAGTGGAGTCTTTATAATAATAATAATAATAATGATAATAATAATAATAATATTTATTCAACCTATTGAGTTACATAAATAAATTTCGTTGTATTGAGATCTGAAATAGATAAAAACAGGCCATGATACAAAAATTGAGTTTAAAGCTGAAAATTGACATGTTAACAATGTTAGATGGAAAATTTTTATGGGTGTATTTGGAACGGAGTTAACTTAGACGAAAGATAGGCTAACGACACAATTTGTCGAATCTTTTAAAAAAACTAACTAGAACTAATGTTTAATCTTAATAGCAAAAGTTTCTAAATGATTCACTTAAAATGATTCACTCTAAATGATTCACTTAAAATGTTCGTCTAAAATGCGTCAAAGAAGTTATAAAGTAACACCGCGCCTCTTACTTTTTCAGCAACAAACTAAAAGCTCTTCCAGAGTGGCTTCCGGATTGTTTCTTCCTTCAAAAGCTGCAGGCCAGCTACAACAGGATCACAACGCTGCCACCAAGGTTAGTACTGAGCGGTTAATACACAACGCTGCCGCCAAGTTTAGTATTGAGCGGTTAATACACGAGCCGATATATTAATTCTACTTTGAGAACGGTTGTAGAACGTCGCATCTATCACAATGGCACTACTGCATTCAATTTACACGCTCGGGGTTATTGAACCTCCCTTAACTAAATAAGAATAAAACTCTATTGTCATATCCTAATGGGTGTCTTCTTGCAGGATATTCCTAGACTCCAAGAAGCTCAAGTTTTTGTGGGTGGACCATAACGAGCTGGAGCAGCTTCCCCAGGACGTGGACGCCTTCTACGTGGAGGAACTTCACGTTGAGAACAACAAGATCAGGCTGCTGCCGGCGGACTTCCTAAGGAACGCTAACAAGTAAGCTAGTCAAACGAAGTCACCCCTTCTGGTAGTCTACTAAAATTTTCCATTGGAGCATCCATAACTTTTTGGTAAAATATCAATACCAATTTTCGGCCTCAATTACTTTTGGGAAACAAGAAATCCGTAATTAAATTTATAAGCTATGTATTCAGTAAAGTAAAACATGAAAAATGTTCTTATTAATGATGAAAGTGCTCGGCAGCTGCAGAAGTATTGGAGGATTTTTTTTCGTGTTTTTCACAAATGCATTTCTCTCAATCAATTCTCAAAACGTGTAAATCTCCCTATAGATTACGAGTCTTCAATGCGACCAGCAACAAGTTGACCAGTCTCCCTGACCTGAGCCCAGTCCAGGACCTGAACAAAATCCAGGAACTGTATCTGAGTGGGAACTTCCTGCAGGACGAGTCGTTCACCACCCTGTGTGGATACCAGAGACTTAAGTGTCTGCACATAGCGCATAACGATATCTACGAGATCTTTGAACGGTAAAATGGTTTAAGGCACAATATCTACTTGGCATTTAATTTTTTAAGAATGTGGTTCTTTAAAGAAAAGGCATATCCATAAAGCACATCATTACAGTTTTGAAAAAAAATTTAAACGTAAAAGAAAAATACATTAACAAACATAATGTTTGCAGACATTTGAATGTTAATGTTTTGGACGGAACATTTTCGTAAGATAAGTTTGATTCGTATGACAAGTTATGAAACATTTGCAAGTTGAAATATTTCAGCTTCGTCAAATACATATACCAGATAAAATCCGTTGGAAAGAGTCTTTATTTGTCCGAGCAGAAGGTAATGTCGACCTTATGATCTGGTTCCAGAGATGTGAGTCGCCTGCAAGCTTTGCAAGAGTTGAACATCTCCGAGAATAAGCTCAAGTTTCTACCGGACGCCATCACACGTCTTCCCGACCTGCGCGTCCTGAGAGCTCACTCCAACATGCTGCGTTACCTGCCAGACTTTGGACGCTCTTCAAACCTCAAGGTGAGCCACCTGGGCGACTGTATGCGACATGGTGTTTGAAGTTAACAAGAAAAGTAAATTTTCCAAAGCTAATCAGAATTTTTTTAATGTGATGGAAGTAAGATATGCTTTCTGGACTTTAACAGTGTGGTTTCAGAAATAAGAAATCCTACAGAAATTGTTCCTACTCAATTACACAATAAATATTAAATAAAATTTGAAGACAAGACCGTGACAAAACGAAGAATACCAAATCGTGCAGTATAGGCTTATATAGTTTATATGGTATTTCAAGTGCAGGGTGACACGTAAAAAATAGTTCATATTTTGTATGGTATGTCACAGGTGCTGGACGTGGGCTTGAACCGCCTTCTGGACACCTCTGTCACTGATCTCATGTCCTCCCAGATTGACCTGCTGGACATGTCCTGTAACACTCAGATGAGGGTGGACATGAAGGAACTACAGTCTGTCAGGTACACGTCGTCATGGTTTCACATTGTCATAATAATAATTATTAATCACTGGTACATCAGCAGTAAAAGATATGATATTCAAACGAGGAGAACCGTTCCTGTCACGAGGGAATAGAGTCGCGCTTGAGACATTTGTGTTTTTCACCATGATTATTGCACAAACCATGTCACAAGGTATCACTTTTTATACCAAATAAAACATTTTGCTTTTTACATATTGGAATGTAAATGTAGTATATATAATCGACTTTTTGGATTGATTTGGTAATGTAAAGTGACCTCAGTTTCATACGCGTTTGTTTGTTTGTTTGTTTAAGCATCTCATCTCATATTGGGATAGAATTTCTTCCTAGATGCCTTAATAGAACATTTTCGTAAATTCTTCTCCAGGCGATACAAAGACATCAACATGATAGACATGACAGGCCAGAACCGAACTTTACCCGGTTTGGACAATAGAGGGCGCACTAGTGGTGGAGACGATCCATGTCCTTGGAATCTTGGATTCTCAGAAACATCTGGGATACGAAATAAGTAAGATTATTACATATCACGTCTTCTTAAATCGAAACCGTTGTTTGTTGGTGTTTGTTGGCATAATACGCAGTAAAGCTTTAATCATGTAGGCCTACTTTTTATATTCAGAATTTTTATTTATTTTATTTAAACGTAAAAGAAATTGTAAAAAAGCAACATGTTGAACTACCGCAGGTAATTGTACCTTTCTGTTTCTATGGAAAAATAGTTTAAATATATGCATGCAAAATTTTAGGCTATGTGTGGCGTCAATTAAGATGGCAAAGTATGACGAAGGACAGGCGTTGCTCGGGGTGTTTGATGGCGGACTGAATAACGAAGTGCCGAAAATCTTGGCAGATCGGATCCCAGATCTAATTAGAAGAGAACGATACGAGAAAGAAAACAGGGATGAGTACATGAAATACACCTTCCTAACCGCCCACAGGTAAAGACTGAACTACCGAGATGGGTGCAAGTTCCGTAATGAATGTGTGCAAGATGCGCGCGAACTTTATGAGATCGTTCTCATTTAATACATACGAGATGTTTGGTAATTTAGGTAATGTAACAGATTCCGCTGAGAATGAAATTTGAAGCCTTATTAGCTTAATCTTGTTTAAAAAGAATTTACTGTATGTAATAATAGATTTATTATGCATCAAGTACATTGAGAAGCAACAAGTTCAACCCCTTTTAAATTCAACGTAATAGACAACTATTCGTTCAGTATCGTTTCCCCCATTTATATAGGCCTATTATTTTCTAGAGAGTTAAGACACAAAGGCCAGAGACTGGGCGCTTCCGGTGCTGTCTGTCACATAAGAAGACTGTTTGAGAATAGAGACCGCTACAAACTGGAGGTGGCAAACGCTGGTGACGTCAGCATAGTGATGTCACGTGGCGGAGAGGCGGTGTGTCTGACTAAGTTGCACACCATTGAAGATAGTCCAGATGAGTGCCAGAGAATTTGTAAATCCGATGGAATCATCACAGAGGTAGTAACTTAATATTCTGTCACTAACATTTGGCTCACATTTTTTCCTTCTCTTCTATATCTGTTTTGATATGTTCAGTACATTAAAGACACATTTCAAATAAATATCAAATGCACTTTACCTGAGTTTCATTGTATAGTACATAACTCTCTTCAGCCACACTTTATCAGTGTTTTCTCCAGCCATGTTCGTTTCTTTGATATCCAGATTACACAAGATCTGAATATTTCTATTCTATTCTATTCTATTCTATTCTATTCTATTCTATTCTATTCTATTCTCAGACTTTACAATAAATAACATATTTGGAAATGGCCCGTTTCAGGACAACAAAGTCAACGGCGTCTGCAACTGTACGAAGCAGCTGGGCTGCAGTTACCTATTCCCCCACATAATCCCCGACCCCCACACCGAGAGGATTACCCTAAAGCCAGAAGACCAGTGCCTCATCATCGCCAATAGAGGGCTCTGGCAGTACGTGTCTTACCAAGAGGCGGTCTGGGAGGTGGAGAGCCTTTCCAATCCTGTTATGGCGGCAAAACGGCTGCAGGATCTTGCCCAGAGTTATGGGTCGAGAGAAAACATTTGTATACTTGGTGAGAAAGTCATTTCTATATTTATGACAATAATGAAATTAAAACAAATGTTTAAAAATCTAAACACTTCACTGAATTTTGAAACGTTTAAAACTTAAAAGTAAAACTGTGAATAACCGTGAATAACCCTTGCATAACACTTGTCTATAAAATTTAATTTATATCGACAGCCCTATACTTGACGTAAATTGTAGCTCTTTTCGCCTTGTAGTAATTTTAACTTACAAATGTTTCTGTGTGATTTATTTATTCAGTTTTTATTAATACTGTTGGGCATAACGCACAGTTTAAGTCAACCAATGAATAAGTCAGTCTTTCGAAAGAATTAGTAAAAAATATCATATATCATTATTAATTTATTTAATATATTCTAGTGTTGAAGCTGTTCATACCAGAGCTGGAATTGCAGAGAGACATCCTCAGCCCACTCCGCCTGGAGCTTCAGAACCTCCGGGAGGGTATTGACGTCGATAACGAAAGTGATCGCCAGTCTGACGTCAGCAGTCAGGACAGCGCAAGGTGCACTGGTCCCGAGACGGAACCGGAAGACGTCGATATAGTCGACAACAGGCGGCGGCGAGTGCGAAGTCCAAGACGGAACCGACCAGCAGCATCCGATGTTCAGGTGCGCCCTCTACCGGGGCACAGATACCGCAGGCGGGATGACGCAGAAGAGTGGGCCAGCATAATCCAACAGCGTCTCTCCGAGGAGGTCAAGGATAAGGAGCTTAAATATTCGGTGGCGGATATCGCAATCGCCATCGAGGAAGTGGAAACGCAACTGCCGAGAAAGGAGACGAAGAAACCCTCTCTTCGTGACGTAGAGAACTGGCTGACGTCACGAGAACCTGTACCATGGGAGAGATCAGATTCCCAACAACTTGTCATGCCTTCGGAAGTCGTGAGGCGAGAGCAGAAGAAAAAAGCTGAGAGCATCACCGACACCGAGTCCACTCTGCTGAGACCATCTCAGATTAAGAAATCGACCAGGTTGAAAGATAGCAGGCGGCAGTACAACACGCTGCCTGTGTCCCGAAGCAAAGGAATGGCCAATGATGACAGTGCCCTCAGCGACCACTCCAGTAAGCTGTCAGGGATGATCAAGGCCACGCCCCGGAAGCACAAGGCCAAGACCATCCACGGTTTACGGGGCGGGAAGTACAAGACGGAGGCTGCGTCCTACCTCACCACCTGCATTAAACGTCGACAGGGTCAGGAAATCGCCAGCATCTTAAGCGAGCTTGTGAAGACAGACCATCCTGATAAACAGACGCAAGGTGAAAGTACAGAAGAAACCCGAGACAGTGGCAAAACGCAGAACAAACTTCATGATAACGTCCAAACAATTTTTCATTCAGAGACTGATTCTCAACTTCCCGAAAGTTCAGATGCAAAACTTAAAGGAGCTCAATCCGACACGTGGAACGAGACACTTGGAAGTGGTTATGACAACGAGGTGTACAGCACAGATGCGTCTACCTCGGACAGAGACCGAAGAGTAAGCGATTCAAGGTTCGTGTACGAGGAGATTCACTTGGATCGGACCCATGATATGAACGCAAGGTCAGACTCCGAGTCGTCCTTCGCGCCGCCCTCTCAGTCGCCGGTAGACACGTCATCAGTCGTGGACCACCCTGCGACTCAGGTGGTGGAAGTCGAGGTCCATAATGATGACCCAGAGTCACTAGAAGTTCCCAGAGTGAGGCTGAGACGGAGGAATATTCCCATGGGCAGTTTCGGTCGCGCGGCTGCAGCACGTGCACGCATGAGAACAAATGGTTCAAACGATCGACCAATCAGCGACGGCTCTGACGATGTTCAGTCAATGACAACTGCGGGAAGTTTTGAAGCCATCTACTCGAGCGTGGACCAGCATTCCCAGACCGACTCGTACTCCAGCGAGACAGTGACAATATCGAATTTAAGTGACTCGGCAAAGGAGACGGATATTGATTCGTTGTACGCAAAAGTGCGCAAGGGGAGCAAGACGCCGGCCTTAGAGGGCTGGGAAGACCCCAGCGACAGGGTATCGGCCATTTACCTGGACGACACTCTAAGAGATTCCGAAAGCATAGAGAGTATCATTATCACTCATCTATAGCATCAACAGCAGAGATGCTCCTCAATCACTGGTTTCATCTACAGTAGATTTATCATTTATATTATTCACAGAGAAACGGTATTGTAGAACATTAGTAAAATTCATTATGTGTAAAGTTCGCAGTAAAACTGTTAACCTATAAAGTCAGAGTAGGGATTTTCACGGTTACGTGGTAAATTATACGTGTTTATCCGTTAAACCGTACCAAAACCAGATGATATTTCGGTTGCCATTTCAGCTGAAGCTCAATACGTACAGCTGCGCCCTGGTGGAATGAATATTGTCTAGAAGTTGCTAATGTGCTTCTTAGTGTTAAAGGAAGCACTGAAATGTGTAGCCATTAGATTTTCATATAAACCCTTTTTAATCTGCCCATATTAACAGCGTAAACCCAAAGTGAAGTTTCAGTGAAATGTAACATGTTATCAGCAAAATCATTGATAAGCAGTTTCTAATTTGTAACTAGTCGTGACGTACGATGTTAACTGTATTCGTACTGCTGTCCACGCACTATACAGAGATATTTGTTGTTACTCTTCCATGTAGATCAAGATCAAACCATGTTAAAACTTTACTATTCCACAACCAAAATAACCAAAATGTTGTGTTGTGTCATTACATATAATATTTCTATATAGAAGGTCATTTTTTCTAGCTGGTGTCATGGAGTTGATGGTGGCCTGATGACTTATAGCCTTAATTAACTTAAAGTGAGTCTCGGTAAGAACACAGCCTTGGTTCACTGAAGGTGAAGTACCAGCATGTACTCAGCATACCTGCTGTTTGCGTTCGAATGCTCAGTCTTCAACAGTGTGCTGAGAAGAGGACATAAGTTCGGACGCTGTTATCTGGATGTCGTAAATACAAAATGTATTAGCACAGTTAGTACCGAACTCCACGCGCCTACAGAGTATGGCTTATAATTACTGCTAAGATGATGTACAGCGTTATTTGAAGCGTTGGGAGTAAAATAGTGTTCCTTCTTCTCACACAGAGTGCACAACTAACAAATAATGTGTAGTGATAAAATGTTTTTGCTACCCACTGTAAATATTATTATTATTATTATTATTATTATTATTATTATTATTATTATTATTATTATACAGATGATTCCCTTGCTTTAACATGATAACCATTGCTACATTGAGCCACTATTTTCTGAGAGACGCATTATAAGATATCGTATAAACTATAATAAATTATCATTTTTCTCTCTCTCTTTGTGTGTATGTTTGTTTGAGAGAGGAGAGAGAGAGCGTGCGTCCACTGTATTTGAGAGCAGAAGACCCAGAGTTTTATGGGGAGAGGGGGAATTAGAGTTAAAACAGCTTTTACTTCGATCGGTGTAGTAGTAGCAAGGAGCACCAGTGCGTGTTTGTGTGTGTTCGCGCGCGAATGAGAGAAGATGGAAGTTGAGGAAGAGAGAAAGGTGGAACGAGAAAAGCAGAAAATGAGAAATGTACGTGCATTGGTATTTTGAAATTGCTGACAGATTTCGGTGAAATAAATGCCGCAGTAATATTAATTCCTAAACGGCAAAAGTCACTCCAGGTTTGGTAAACAAACACGAACGTTATGGTACAAGGTCACTCAAGCGGGAAACGCGGTCACCTTGGATGTGATCTTGCAATAACATTGCCCCGTAATCAGGGTACGAAATGGTCCATTTCTGTCAGCCTCGGTCCAGTTGTGGGGGCAAAATCGCAAAAAAAGCGGGAATAATGCGTTTCCAAGAATATGTTGAGCGCTTGTGCACGATACCGTGTGATCAGACACGAAAATATATCTGGACTGGTGCAGATGTGAATGACGTCATCAGACATACAAACTGTATTTCGGCGTGAACGACTTTATATATATTTACCTTACCCTAAGCAGGCGTACTAGGATAATATCCTGACGCTGCAGTAGTTGAATTAGTGCAGTGCTTATTCTGTTTACTGGTTTTGGTGATGACAAAAAAAAAAAAAAAAAAAAGTTACGCGTGCCGGGTGCATGTTGTTAGTAATCAAGAAATAATCTGATAATACCGGTTGGGCACGAGTAGCATTATGTCACCCAGAAAGGTAGATCGGGTTCCTATCAGTCTATTTGTTCACGATAAAAACATCTTATCAATGCACGCTTGGCAGAGACGGTGATAAAACTATTTTATGAACTTACATAGTCTGTATACGGAATACTATTTAAGCAATCTGTTTGGATGAATTCTGCCTATAATATTCAATAAAATCGACAGCATCAGGGCAAAACATTCAGGAGTTAAAAATGACGAGCCTTAAAAAGTTGAATTGTGTGTGTGTGGAGGGGGGGGGCTGCTACAACATCACTTTTACATATAGGAAGATCTGTTTTTTTTTCTGGTGAACATGTTTTTGTGTGGTGAACGCATCAGCCTGCATCCCACTCTGAAGTATTATTGTATCTATACAAAGTCACCCATGACTCATCAGATATATTTGGCAAGAGCGATGCCCTTGGTGTCGTACAATGTACTTGTTCCAGAAAGAAAATGATATTATTTAGGTTAATTTCAAAAGATTGAATGCACTGGAAAATATTACCATCATCCCTTAGAACCATTATCTCAGCCAGACAGGGCAGATCAGGTTTTTATCAGAACATATGTTTGCGATAAAAACACAGTATCACTACACGACTGGGAGATACGACAATAAAGCAGAACAGATAAAGCTTATGAACTTAAATAATCTGCAACTACCCGGTAAGTAGACTCCAATGTCAAGGCCAACCAAAAACTACAAGCTCAGGGTCCAGCTTTACAAACTGATTTTAAAGTCGAACCAGGTGAAACTTGCATGTTGTATTCTACTAAAATAAAATTGCCATTAGTCTTAAAAGACTATCTGTCGAGGAGGGGGGGAAGGGGAGGGAGTCGAAGTCCCCTTTTAGACGGAAAAGGGCCCGCTCTGAATCAAAATTTGAATGAAGTCACCGCACGTGAAAGGAAAGGAAAGAGAGAAAAATCTGACATATTGGGAGATTTTTAGTCTGAGTCGAGAGATAAGAAGATTTGTCCCCAAATCGGGGGACTCCGGTCGAGATCGGGAGTGACAGGTCTGCTAAAAGTTGAGAGCCTCCCAAAGAAAAAGAAAGATAAATGGATTTATCCGTATTCATTTCTGCAACATATTTGCTTTCCAAGTTTGCTAGTCATTGATACCCGATCAATCTCAACTTCTTGGTGCCCTAACCAGCCCTCCACAGCCGGTGTTAGCTCATCATCATCATCATCATCATCATCCTCATCCTGCTCATCATCGTCCTTAAGGGCCATCCACGTTCATCATCACTTTTATAAAGCTTCAACCCGTACGTCGGCGGTTGGGGGTTAAAACCATCTGTAAGCTTTTGAAAAATAAATATTTCTGTCAGAGGTTTAGTACTCTTTGAAGGGAGAGGTTATGGAGAAAGTCTACACTTTGTAGACCTGTGGAAATAATGATAAAACGGTTGGAAGTCACTGGGGCCAGTGTCCATCGTGCCACAAGATTAAGCTGGAAAGTCAACGAGCATGTATCAAACACACCGTATAATCAAACAAATACAGCAGTAATATTTATCCAGATGAACATTTCTAAGAAGACTGTTGCACACTGGAATAAGGGCACGGCCGCGGACACAATATAAACAGGTGATGTAGGTTAGGCCCCTGTTTCCCCTTCACATCTCTGAACGCACACACGCCCGTCACGCACCAAACACCCACACACATAAGCACTTTTCCGGGGGGGGGGGGTTAAAAGCAAAAAACAACAGGATATCATTCAAGATCGGAGTATATAGAGACTGGCCTACGAGTATAAATGCAAAAATTGGTATAAATTACACAGGTACCTTATAAATTCTTATCTAGCCTAGATAGAACGATATTATTTTGGCTTATGTTCAATTTCGAATTTACATCTACCTGCAGTGGCTCGCGTAGCTGAAGCCCTGCTTGTTGGATATCTCTTACTGATAGAAGTGATAACCGTATTTAATGCAATAAGCACTCCAAGTTGAGCTATTTCGTGAGAATAATAGACGTACTGAGTCTCAAAACCTCTGGTTAAGGCATATTATACATTGATTATATGCTTCACTATTTCGGCGACTAAAGGTGTAAAGAGCCCTTTCACAAAAGCCCCAATTTTAAATCCGGTCTGCGTTTCATAACCATACACATATAAACAAAAAATCAGCGACATACATTCAGACCACTCCCCAACCTGTGAAAACGGTCAATTGTTCTTCAATAAGAATTGATCATTATCGCGTCCATTAACCAAAAATTATCGTCGGGGTAAATTTAAGTTCGTCTTCACACAAGATAAAGGTGTCATTAGACGTTTTCACACACTTGTGTAGACTTAAGTACACAGCGTGTGCCGCCACCTGAGGAATCTGTGTCGTACCAAGTTATTGTTTATCTCCATCAGCTGACGGTTGTTTATGTGTAAAACGCGACTAACCAATCAAAAAGCTCAATCGAGGCACACCTCCAATCGGGCCTATTCACCCGTGTTTTTACCCGCCGATCAAGAAAAGTTCTCTTTAAGTCATGCGATTTATTCCTGCGTTCACATCACCCTGAGTTACTGTGCATTGCCATGGGGTAATTTATGGCACTTTAACAGTCACACCTGCCTTCAGTTGAGTGCAAAATGATAATTTGAACGTCTGCGCGGAGTGATCGGTTTGGCTAGAGGTCAATTCACGACTGGTAGGGTCACAACACACCTGAGCCAGACAGCAAACTCAGACGCCGAGTCTCATTGTATTGTACCGGCGGATAGAGACAGGTGATCGTCATGTTGTTCAATTGTACTCGCCTCTTAAGGTAATGTAGACACTGTACCTGTTGTGCTGTGACCTTCACGCTTTAAATTTCAGCAGGGGGGAAAACGTGATGCTGTTAACGCAGGTCGCTTTCATTCTGTATCCAGCATCAGTAGCGCTGTGCTGGCTATTGTTAAAAGACCAAACTTAATGTCAAGGCCACGACTTTGAGAACAATTAGAATCGGTCAAACGTAACGTTCTTGTGAAAAGTGACTTGTTATAAGAACGACAGATTTTGGTCCTGTAGGTTCTTTTTTAACCGGTTGAAAATTCATGACGTAGGCCTACACCGGCCGGTACGCTGTTTACCTACATTCGGCTGTCACCATGATCGACTGACTCTAAAAAACCACAAAATACAACTCTTATAGCCTATACTTTGCACTTGACCGCAGCAATGCAAAAAGCACGACCAAAACTGTTGTAGTATTTTTAACCAATATTTGATTTTTAAGAAGCCGTGTGCGCGTGGGGTAGATTAAAGCAAAACAATTCTTTCAGATATAGCGGCTGATATTAGGGGGAAAAATAAACCAAAATTTGGTGTTATTTGTGCAATCAACTCTCTGCTTCCATATGAAGTGAATGAAAGTTGTAGGGACAGTCACAGATAGGATTTTTCACTGTACTCGTGTCATTGGTTGTGTATTCTCACAGATTGCCTTTGGCGGAGAGTTGTTGGTTGGGTAGGGAGCTAGATATTCCGTGGGCGGCGGGAGAGGACGATATCGATGTGATCGACTGTAGAAGGGAAGTCCTTGGCCCAAAAAGATAACCTTGAGATACTTCCCACGTTTCTGTAAGGTCGATATATTCACTGATCAGAATAACATGATATAGGTAAACGGCTTTACTAAATGATCACGATTTATTTTACAAGGGCACGAAGCTATTCTTTGTACAGTAGGCCTATACGTGCACGGATTTGGGGGGGGGGGGGGATAGGAAGTAGTAGAATAGGCTGAAACTGAAATAATCAAAAGTTGAAAAAATAAGGAATGCAGACAATGGGTCATGTACCCAGTTGAAATCATTTAGTTTATTATAGCTACTGTGGAAGGCTTGTGAGGGGGAGGAGAGACGTCGGGATATAGGATGGCTCAGACTTACCTGCCATACTCGGCTGCATACCGCAGACAACTGAGTGCAAGCATTAGTTTCTCTGACCTTTTAACTCATTATCTTCTCAGGCCACATTCGTACAATGCAGTATGGTACAATTAACCTTCAGATATACCACTGCTTATGTTCAATAGGCCTTTTTTTAAATATCAACCTATTTTCAGATTTTTTTATAATTTTTTTCTATTCCAGTAAAGAACCCCATTTTCAGAAATGTTGATAGATGTAGCAAACCTGTGCCATTTGCACTTTATATATAGCTCACTGTGAAATTTAAACTCAACATCCAAAATGCTGTTACAGAAAACACCTGTAAACATTTTGAGTGGCAAATATTGTGTATTCATTGGTATGCACAAAGGTTCAAGTTTTTTTTTTTTTTTTAATGCAACTTCACTGACAGTATTTTGTATTTTAAAAATGCCCTATGTCAATTTTCCTAGGCTGGGAACTATATGTTTCAGTTACCACAGGTAATCACTGTTAAGTAATGCAACCTTTACTCAGACTTCATGTTTTGCTACCTGGCTATAAATCAGGCATATACTGGAGGGCAGGCAAAAAGAGCATCCAGTTCACATAAGATTTCACTTAGACCAGGTATATATAAAATTACCTGTACATACATGTACATTGAGAAATGTAACATAGCTAAAAATCAGCCATTTACTGGGATGCCATCTAAAAGAGCAATTATCACATCAGTTTGAACTTAGATCAAGTGTGTGTTTAAATATGATCATTAATTAGCAAATTAATGGTAGTTATATGAACAATACAATACAATACAAATGGCAAACAATTTAAGTTGAAGTTTTAATATTAGCTTTGCAGTATAATCTGTCAAAGGCTGTTGTAGGCTTAGTCCAACAATTAATATATTTCACAACCCCCCCCCCTTCCCCCAACACTCACAGCTACATTCCAAAATAATTTTCTCTTGTTTGTACTGTTGATGGAATGCCCTCAGACAACCCTCAGTGCCTTATCAATGTTTATCTGCCTACATCTGCCATTTCAGTAGACCCAGCACAGACATAAGTAAGAACTGATGTGAGTACAACCAAAATACATCCCAGATTTAGTGCAAGATGCTAACAGTGATTAACATTTTAAATGTCTGAAGCTTATTATTGTAAGAACCCCAAAAATCTGATGCAATGACCAGGAAAGGAAAAGAGATTTTATTGCTTTGAACATGCACTCACTAGTAAGGTTGATGTGTAATTCATTTATCCATCAATCCATTTATTTATCACATCCATTTATATGAATTTCTTGGTTAATTCTTCCTTTTCTTTTTTTTTCATAGATCCATCCATTCATCCATTTCTGTATGCAGCGTTTTTTTTTTTTTGTTTGTTTGTTTTTTGTTGTTTTTTTTTGTTTTTTTTTTTTAACACACTATTAAAAAGAAAGGGGGCAATTGATGCCATAATTCTGAATCCTACATTGATGCAAAAGTCTGATGCAATGATCAGCAGAGGGACGGAGATATTTATCAGTTTGAATTATTCATGATGTCGACACTTGTAAACATGTATGTGGTTAGTCTGTGATTTGCCCATACATGCACACATCCATTATATATATATATATATATATATATATATATATATATATATATATATATGAGATATTGAGTCACATTTTTCTTTGCTATTTTTCCTAATTTTCTTTGGAGCAGATTGACAGACAGACAGAAAGACGGACAGATAGAAAGATATATATGCTTTATTCATACTTTCTGCACCAGACTGAGCTGGTAAAAATGTACAGAGATATAATAGAATTTTACCAGGTGCACAGTTTATTTCAGTTTGGATAAAGTTTGCAGGCTTTTAACCCCCCACCCCCCCCCAAAAACCCCCCCCCCCCCCCCCCCCCCCCCCCCACCC